AGTAATCAATAAATAAAAAAGAAAAAAAAAAAAGAAAAAATATGTCTGTAACTAAATTCCAGACTTACCCAAAACCCCAGCCATCAATTGCACTAGCAAACACCACATTTCCATGGTCGGGTGAAAAATAAAGATGTGAATCATCAGTATCTTCCAATCCAGTGCTCCAGTCATAAATTTGATCTCCTGGTGCAGCATCTGAAATACTTTCACTTTCTGTTTCTTTTTCAGCTCTTTCTTCTAAGACTTTAGAGGTAAAGAGTGCTCCAGTGACTGCATTGATCTACAGAAGGATATGTAAAAGCTAAGATTCGTTCACTCTTTCACAACCCTTGCAATTAAAATGCAATTCCCCCCAACTATAAAAAGAGAAGGGGGTTGTTGTTTTTTTTTTTTTTTAAAAAAGGTAGCATGCCTGCAATTCATTTTGCGATTTAAAACACAAACCTTGTCTATCTAATCCTGCCCGTTTCAAGACAACATTTTGATGAGCCTAACATTTCAATTTAAACACCATGTACTTTCCAAGTCAAAGTCAGCCACATCAGGATTGAATCAGTTATAGCGTATCATGTGAAATACACTTTGTCTCTCAGAACAAGGAATGGTGAAATAGTAACTTGCTGCTGCCAACAAACAACCAACAAAGGAGGGCAAAGGGAAACCACATAGAGCACTCAAAAAAAAAAAAAAAAAAAGAAAAAGTTTGAAGGCAGCTTAACTTACAAGATGAATTAACTTCATCCCTGCATAAATCCATCGACGTCAGGAGCAGTCTAAAGATATTATTTGTCTACCTCTAAAGAAGTTTAAGCAATTTAACAGGAAAAACAAAACACTCAGCATAATATTTCTAAAAATGAAGACTCTTCCTGATGACCTGTCAAGAGGCATTTAATACTCATTTCTCTATCACGGGCTTTCTGAATGAACTTCAAAACCAACTAGAAATAAAATGTGTCTCAATATTAAAAATTAGATTAGATATTATAGTGCTTGATCATGCAAACCAAGAAAGAACTGGTTCTGCTGCACAGCCCTAAGGCAGTGGAAAATACAGTCTCTCTCGATTCAAGAATGGAGAAAAGGGGGAAGAACAAAACCTCCACAAAATCTGCTGCGTGAACACAACACTAGGGCACGAATACCTGTTCTAAGATATTCTTAAGGTGCAAGTATGCTTCCTGAGGGGTCAGCTTCAGCTCCACAATCAAGCGATCAATTTTATTAATCACCAATACCGGACGTATATTTTCCAGCCACGCTTGCCGTAGAACTGCTTGAGTCTATTAAGAAGGAAACAATTAAAAAAAAAAATCCATTACAGAAAGCTTGATACCACAAAATAGACAGAATGTTAGAGAAAATGACAATATAATTCTAAAATTTATTTAAACATAAAAAAGGATAGGTTGACAGTCAAACCAGAAATTTGACTCCCATAGTACATAGCGTTAGCTATTATAAAATTCTGCAGAATGGCAGAATTTCATGGCAAAAACGCCCACAATAAACCCCCCTCTTTAGAAATGTAAACTATGAAAAAAACAATTTCAATGTTATTTTCTGTATTTTTTCACTTTCAATGTCGTAAAAGCACATGTAAATATTTTATTTCCCTTAAGACACTTATTTCTTCTCTATACAAATATTCCATTTCTTGAGAAATTGCATACTGACAGTTTCAGCCCTACATCACTACACCCACTCACCAGTGTTGCTCAGTTTTTCAGCACAACTCTGAAATTAACTACCCTCTTTCATACCTCAAGTACATTGTCATTAATTAAAAGTTTTGCAAAGCTTCTTAAACCAGCTCATCTTTTATTTCTACATAATACATTTCAGACTTTGGTTAGTCTGTCTTCTCTATCTTCTTTCTCTATTTAATATACTTTATTTCACCTGTGGACAGACTCCTTCAACAGCATCCACCACTATGATGCAACCATCACAGAGTCGAACAGCAGTAGATACTTCTGAAGAAAAATCCACGTGCCCTGGGGAGTCTATTAAATTAATCAGATACTCCTGATCACCTAGGATCAAACAATAAATTAATATTTCAGAACAGTTTTCAAAAATATTTCTTTCAGCCACCTGGTTATGCTGCTTAAGCTGTTATTAATTTCCAAGGACCAAATCTGCAGTAACCATTACGCTAGTTAATTTCGCTTTTAACACCAATCTTCTTCTTTCAATGCCTGACTACCTTTGGAAAATTAAAAACAAACAAAACTACGCCAGCCAATCAAACAAAAAGAAAAACCTTAACCCTGAACAAGCTTGTAGTAGCATTACAAATAGATCACTAGCCAAAACACAAATCAACTGCATTACAGTTTGCATTTTAAAGATAAATCATGACAGACTGTCATAATAATAAACCCTACATTCTTCATAAAATGCCTCATTTCAACTTTGTCATTTTTTTAAAAACGCTTTTGACTCCATATTTCCACACTATCTTCAAAATATCAGCATAGGAGAAATTCTCAGTGTTTTCTATACTATCCACCCCAAAAACTCTTAGTTGATTCCAGTCAACTTCTGATGAACAGAAAAACATACACAAAATGTTCTAACCATTAAAAGTAAGGTCACTTCAGAGTCAACAACAAACCAGCCACAGTTTACAATACTTAGCTGGAAGATGACTGATTTCAATTATTTTTTATAATTAGCTGTAGATGAAATGCAAAGACTAATAGTGGCTTATGTGTTAGTTATTCTTTTTATTGCACAAGCCTGTTTGTAATGCATTTCATGTTTTTTATCTGCCTAGCTGAGGATAAGACTGGTGAGGAACATGGAGTCATAACAAAGATGAGACTGTAACCACACTATAAAAATCCTCTGAACAATTTATAGCAGAGTATTACAGGCACCTTGACATAGAAGTAAAGATAAGACTGTACAAAATCATTGAAAGATTTGTTGGTTTTGAAGATTTTGCCTTTTGGTGACATTATTTCAAGACAAAATCAAAATATGAAGATTTAGATCTAAAATAAAAAGGGAAAAGCAACTGTTCTATTTTCCTCCACTCAGAGATATGATTGAAGATGGTTTTCCTAACTCTGAGACGGAACTTGATTATCTTGGTTACCACTTGAATACATACCTAAGTCTTTGCAGAACCATGGCCTAACATTGAGGAACACAAAAATAAAAGATGCATGCAAAAAGATCTCAACAGCAACAATGACGAGACAGGGAGAATTAACAAAAACACACATGCAGTTTATACTTGCAACTTACAACAACAACTTACCTTTGACAAAGTGCAATGAAATGGCACTAGATTTCATTGTTATTCCTCGGATCTGTTCATCTTCTCTACTGTCTAGGTATCTCAGCTGATTACAAAAAAAAAAAAAAAAGGTGATAAATATATTGAATTATCCCAACAAGTTACTTATCAACTGTCAAAAAGTACAACTGTGACAAAATGAGGCTTAGCAAGACTAGGAATGGAATTTCCTAAATTATCACTGATTTACAAGCCCAGAACACCCACAGCAGAATTTTGTTAAAAATGACAGTATAACTCCACCTTTCCTGCCAAGCGGCTGGAGATTATTCCATTGCTTGATATTAGACAATCAGCCAGAGTTGTTTTGCCTGAAAATAAAAATAAATTACTGAGTTTAGCTTAATACAAACAACAGAAAAAGATGTGACAATATTATGAATCCTGACAACATCTAGTGTTCTGAGCTGTCAACATTAATAAAGGCATTAAAATGCCACGAAAGTACAAACTAACTTTAAAAAAAAAATCTGTTTAATCAACTTCACTTGTTAGATGTACACCAATGTATTTCTGAAGAATGGATGTGACCCTACCTGTCATGACTAGAAAGGCAGCTGAAATAACAAACAGTACCATCAGAACCTCAATATATCACGCAATTAGACAAAACATTTATGTCCTAAAACAAGCATGTATTATTTTCACATACATAACAAACTTCTTGCATTAAGTAAACACTGAAATACAACAGTAAACATACATTCAATTCACGCCAACATTCAGCAAAGAGGAAAACATTCAGTTTCAACTACTCCACATTATTACAGCACGTTCACTTAAGTTCTAAAAGATAAACTGCATCAGAACAAAAGAAACGTGCATAAAGCAAATTTACTTCTCAGAATCACAGTTTAAAGCTAAACCCATGAAAGCCTACTGCTTTAAAACAGCAACCAAGATATCTCACTGCCATTCAAACTAACACACACGTGAGTTTTCCTCGCAAGGTTTCTGCCCGTCGCAAGCACCTGTCTTACCATGATCCACGTGGGCTAATATACAGATATTCCTGATGCCAGAAGTCTTCTTCTGGAGGGCAACCATCTTTTCCACACTCGTGAGGACCATGATTCCCTAGTTCTGCCAACGGAGGAAAGTATTTTATTCAGGAGGTGACTTAAGGAACAAGAAACACCTGATTTTTTGGTTTTTTTTAATGACGTAAGCTGTGGTTAGGGCTCCTCATCAGGGAAACCTGTGACACGTGGAGCCTGTCACGTTGCTCGGACACCAGAAACGTACAGAGCACGGGGCTTCTATGTAGAACAAGGACCGGGCAGTTTGGTGGGTTTCTGGTCAGTTTCCCGTTCTGTAGGCACGCGGAGCCGCCTCGCCTCTCGGCACCCCACGGAGCCCGGGAAAAGCTCAGCCTCCCGCTTTACACTCAGGCCGCCGGGGACGCCTCCCGCCCCGCTCCCCGCTTCCGCCTCCCCGCCGCGCTCCCCCCGGCCCTCCAACGCCCCAGCCGCGCACCGCCGCCACCCAGACGGGTGCCCCGGCAGGGGGGCCGTAGGCCTCCCCCAAGGTTTCCAAGCCGGGGCCCTCCGTGAGGGGCGCCCTCAGGGCTGAGGCGGGGACGGCAGGAGGCCGCGCCACCGCCGCCAAAATTCCCCTCACGTGGAGGCGAACACCCCACCGTAGCTCGCGCCGCGCCGCCCGCACCCGGAAGCCGGCGCCGATTCCTCCTCCCGGCCCGCCGCGTGACGCCGGACGGAAGCCGGCGGAGGCCGCTCAGCGCGAGGACGCCGCCGTTGCCAAGGCGACGGAACGCTTCCTTAGTCACGGCGGCGGCGGCGGGGAGCATGAAGGCGCCTCGGTGTCTGTGTGAGATTTGTACCTGCGGGTAAGCAGCCCCCGCGGGTCGCCACCTCCTCCGGGGAGTGAGGGGGGAATTGGAGTCCCCGGGCGGGGGTCCCCCCCGGAGAGTGACGGCGGTTTCCCCTCACCGCTCCTGGCCCCCTCAGGGCCACCCCCACGCAAACGTCCCTCACCCTGTCCCTCTCCCGGGTGGTGCGGGGAGACCCGGGGCCGGTCGCGGCGAATGTTTTTAGCAGCGGGGAGGCAGAGACTGGGTAACATTCCCATTTCAACAGTTTGTGGCTTCCCTTTTTATTCTAAAAGGGATCTTCTCCGTAAATTTGAAGTAATATTTTTATGTTTAGGTCAATCCGGGAAGGGGGGGGGAGGCGGAAGAAGACCATCTCAAATGCATTCAAATAGAAATAGAAATAGAAACAGCCTTTTAAAGCCACCAAGACTCAACCTCAGGATCAGTCTTTTCCGCAAAGCAAAGCCAAGGCTGCCGTGTGGAGAGAGGGAGGGAGAGACGCTGCTCCAAAGGAGCCCTCAGGAGAGTTCTGGGTGAAACCCCCTGACAGAAACTGTGAGAGCACAGCAAGGCTGGCATAAGAGACTACAGCAGGCAATTTGTTTGTTTAAAACTACTATTACAGGTTTATAAGCAATATTATCAATGCCACAGGTAAAAAAAATAAAATTCACAAGTCAGGTTTCCCAAAACCATAAGGGATTTAAACCTTGCAACATTCAGATAAACGTTTATCGGTTTGGAGTCAGTACTGTAAATATTTTCAATTTCTTCTCTGGTTAAAAAAAAAACCACAAAATAATCATCCTGGGGTTCAAAGATTCAGTCTTTAATACTAAAAATATGTCTAACAACTGCATTCAAGGAGATACATCATAAGATGACAAGTGTGATCCCTATCTATTGGAAGTACAGGGCCAACCCTATGGCTGCAAGCGCACCATGAGCTGCAGGTTTCATGTTGAGGTTTGAATAGCAGACACGCTCCTTATGTGTCTCTGTGGGAAGTCTGTCTATCTGTTCATTCTGTTCATCAGCCACTTTTTTTTTATATATCTGTAGACAGAGATGAGAGGCAGGCAGTGTGTACAGCTTCTCATGTTCTTTTTGGCCAAGACTGTGGGTGTAGGCTCGCCCCATAAATTTGTTTCAAAAGTCCTAGATTAATGAAGAGTTGGAACACATTGTTTTCGTGATGAGATATCAGACCTGGCTCAGGCTCAAGTATAAAGATGGTGAGATAACACAATCTCACAGCAGAAAATGAGGTTCAGTTCAACTGAAAATTCTCAATTCAAACCCCCAGTTTAATAATATGAATAACTGATTAAAACATGCACAAAACTTTGGGTTTAAAATAAACATCACTGAAGTTTTTACAATCAATAAAATCTTAAGCCATTATTGGTTTAGGCAGCACATTGTGTTTCCTTCAGCGTAGCTATAGTGTTTCTGTTTTTAGGGGAAGACTGGTCTCTTGGCAGTGTTACCTGGATATCACAATGCATACACATCTCAGAAGAGATTTCAAAGCAAAGAAAAAGATCTAAGATAATTTAGCTATTTGCAGGAAAGTTTGTGGAGATATAATTACTGTTTAATTCAAAATAATAAAATAGAAGGAAAATATTTTTCTTGTCCTAAAACACTTGGAAAAAAAATACAGGGAAGGAAAGTCAGTAAGACAGAACTTCATTCTTTTTAATTCTTTACAGGGAAGTGCGAAGAGCGTCCAAAAGTCCCGAATGACCTTTTTAAAGTTGTTATATACACAATCCACTCATAAAATGCTCACATCTGAGTGCTAGTGTTCATACTTAGGGGCTGCAGTCTTGATCTCTTAATCAAATAATTGTTGCAAGATTCTTAAGAATATTTTGAATCAATTCCTTCTTATTAGACTGAATCACTTTATGTGCCTATTAGGTGATCTTTTTCAAAATCAACAAATAATTGTAACGCCAAAATCCACTGGAAGTGTACCCAAGTGCTGAGCATGCTCAAAGAACAATTTGTAAATTAGGTCCAATGCTGGATACTTCTCCATTTTTAATAACTGGCATAATTTCTAGACTTTAGAGCGTAAGACTTAAAAGCTTTTACAGTGGCATACGATGCTACCAAGGCGGTATGATGATCATTGTCAAGCTGCTATGGTAGAGATGTAAGTTTAGTTAGAGGGTTTTTTTTTAATAAACCATAAAAAATGTTCTCAAATTACATAGTGCAGAGTAATGGCTGGATTCTGTATTGTTTGCTAAGATATTCCAGATCCATTTCTTATTTTAGAAGTGGCATATTTTTAATATGGAGAAACTATGAGCTAGTCTTCCTTGGGATTGATCTATAACAAGAAGGAAATATTTTCATTTTTTTATTTTCTATAAGTTCCAAATGTGTTAACTTAATGCAAGAGAAAATTACCCCCTGCCAGCAAGTACAGTCAGGCTTCAGATCACTGGCTCAATAGAAATGTCTAAGAGCAAACACAGGATGTTGAATCTGACCTCCAAAGTGAGAATAAAGCCTCTGAGGTAGATAAACTCTCTGCACTCAAGAATAGTATTTGTCTACCATAAAAGATAATCACAGCATACAAAAGCATAGAAGTTTAGTTTCGAGATATAAAAATAAACTACAGTTTTATCTTTTTCTCAATCTGTCAGCCATTCCCCATTTATTGCACTTTTGTTATCATTATCATAAAAATCTAGGTTCCTGAATAAATTAAAGAGGAAAGAGGAAGACTTCTCTAAAATATGGGATATTTAAGCCTTCATACTGACCAAATGTAAATACACGCCAATCCAAAAAAAATCTACTAAGTCTTCTAGACTTACTCTAGTGTCAACACTAGAAAAGCAGACTCCCAAAAATACGGTGTCCAAATGTAACTTCTATTGTTCAGATCATAGCATGGCAGTTAAAAAAACAAAAACTTTGAGAGGGTTTGGGGTATTTTTTTGTTTTTCAAAAAAAAGTTTTTTATGATGATAAGCATTAAGCTTTTCTCACTATTAGTCGAGTTCTCTGAGAGCAAAATACTTTGTGGGAAAATTTCAGGGGTCTTTCTATGCTATATGAAAAACCGCTGTATGTATGCCAGATCCTAAATAAGTGAAATTCAGCAACATTCTGTTAAAATAATCAGACCAATTTGGCACTAGAGAAACTGTATACTGTCAATTTTATTTAGCTGAGATTCTTTTTAGACCTTATACAAGCCACAAGATAGTCTCCCTCAAAGAAGGGAAAGAATAATAATTCATCAAAGCAGACATCAGTCAGTCATGGGGAAAGGCACATTCTCACCAAATTCATTTGAATTATCAGTAATTCTGGGGCTGAACTTATGATAACTGCAAGTAACAAGTTTAAAATAATCAGTGACTCAAGGAGTTCTGGCCAAATTGTAAGCAACAGATGTCATTTCTCAGAGTTGTAATGTCTTCTCCAATTGATGATTCTTAGCATCGTCTCTCTAAAGAGCTGTGATGCCCTATGTAATCAGTTTTATAAAGTTATTATCTAAATGAAAACTTTTGGTTTAGCAGTTGAACCACATCCAAAAATAGATTTATCCATTAAAGAAAAAACCCCTAATCTTTTCTCCAAGTAAAATTCACATTTATATTAAGGTAACTTTACACTGCCTTTTAGGCCCACTGAAAGTTCTTTCATGGCACAGAGTAGGATGTAGGCTCTTCTTGAACAGTCTTGTCTGAATCCAAGTAATTTTGTGCATGTTCATAATTATTTCATATGCTAAAAATGACTGGGATCAACTCATTTTTCATACAGCGATGAATTCTAATGCAATTACAAAAACTTCTTGCCTTGGAGACATAGATTAGATTACTTTCACCTCTCTGTAATTGTTTTTCTAGTATCTATTTCTGTTTGTATCATGGCCATTCAGCAACTGATAATATTGCTTAGAAAGTAGCGAGAGCTAAACCTTTGAAGACTGGTGGTGATACCAGAGTAGAGAAGGTGTTTTGTTTGGTGATTAGTTTTCTGGACCAGTTTATAGCAAACTGAATATTGTCAAAATGAAGGTTTTGTAGATGAATATTGTTTGTTTCAAACTTCTTTAAATTATATGCCTAAAATATGTGAAGAACATTATAATTTGATACCTATATTTCAACTAGCTTTCAAAAGATTTTTCAATGGTTTTAATTTCTGCTTAGCTGGTACTTTTAGATGCTACATGACACATCATGTGCTGTTTATATTTACTAAAGAAATACTACTAAGGTAACAACTGAATTTCATGAAAAATGTAGCGGCAGGCAAGCACTGTGGTGAGAAATAGGATACACTCACCTCACTTTCCAAGCACCTTTCCTGTTCTTTCCCTCCTCCTTGTTTTTCCTTTCCCTGCTATGTTCTGAATAGGTCTCTCAATTGTGATGTGACTATCCCTTGGCTTGATTGAAAAGGAGTAAGCACCTGTGGCTTTGAAAGGATCTGGCTTCCTAGACAGGGCTACTTCAGAGCTACTGAGCCGGCAAAGTCAGGCAGCTCAAACTAACACCAGCTTTAGTGTTGGGGGGGGGATTGAAAAATCAGAAATGGCCTGCAGAGCACAAGAAGTGCATGTGAGATTTCACACCACTAAAATTTTAGTCAAAAAGTGTTAATCAAATTGTAGCGAAAACAGGTGAGCAGATGCACAGAAATAAAAAGATAAGCAATGAGGGAAAACAATAAAAAAAGAGACAATAAGAGAGGAGAAATGAAGTGTAGTTATTTTCACAAGTAAGACTAGTAATATCACTAAAGATTAAAAAAAAAGATTAAAAAGTGCATCTTGGTGGCAGCATCATTTAGAGGATTGAGATCAACTCCATCTATCCTTTGTATTCTGTACTGAGGACGTAGTCACATGCTGATACTGTTCATTACTGTATTAGTGTACTGAGCTCTGGGACCTATGCCATCAGCACAATATTTTGTGGTTTTATCACTCAGAAAAGATTTTAAACACAAGCTACTGACATTGTTCAATCTTCTCCCAGTAGATAGGGCATGGGTTTTCCCCTTAAATGAAACTATTCAAAATGATCTCATCTGATGTGTTTTACCCAGGCGCCATCGCTGCCCTCATAAACCCACAAGGATTTATGGTAATGGACAACAGCCGTGCCTCACAACAGAGTATGTGGAAAAATATCCCAAGTACAGCAACATCTCTCCTCCCCGGAGCCTTAAGCCGAAACAAGAGAACCAAGTGCATCGTGGGAAAATGGAAGGAATGACAACATTTAAGTAAACATTTTGAAGCAATGTGTTTTACAATCACTCTATAAAGTTTCTCATACTTTCTCATTTAAAGGGGGACTGAAGATTGTCTTGCAATCACTTTCAAAATGCAATCATTGCATCCCTTACACTTTTTTTTATTTAAAAGTATAAATTTTGAGTTTAGAAATACAGTTACCACACAAAGGTCGTAAAGAATTGCAAAGCACGCATACGAACATATTTGCATTCTTTAAAGCATCCTTTAACCTGTAAAGATAATCTAAAATTTTTGTTCTTGTTTTCAGCCTATTTTGGAAATCTAGTTCTCATCGAGCCTGAAAAAGCTGGCAAACTGGGGAACTTTCTGTAATACATGTGTGGAATTTAAGATAGTGGGAAAATGAAACCTTAAAAAAAAAGCAACAGGGATTTTTTTTTTTTTTAATCAGACAGTTCTAAATTACTTGGAGTTTGAAGAAAGCCAACTGTAAAGGGGTTCAGCAGCTCTGCCCCGTCAATGCACAGACTTGATATTAAGCTTACAAAATTAAAGAGCATCTTTCAAAGAGTTTGAAAAAGACATCACTCATTCATTACTAATAATGTGACAGGAGCATAAACCTTTAGTTTTTCCATTATTGTTTTTCCTTTAAGCTATAAGGGCAACAGGTGAAACTTCTTTATTTGTTTATAAAAAAACAAAAGGGACATACATAGAAAGGCCAAATGCTCTTCTGCAAGATTGCTTGTGTACTGCATACGCTGTTTAAACACCTACATATGTAATATACACCCTTTTAACATAATATGCCCATATAAAAATGGTGAAATGCTGTTTCTGATTATATTTCATTCTCCTCATAAAATTAGTAAATGCTGCCACTTGTAGTATTTTGATTTTTGCTTTCTGGATCATTTCTTTGTAAAATTACAGCAACTTTCTCTGGTCTCCTTTCAGACAATTTAAAAAATATTTTTAAACTGGGAATGAGACTCGAAGCATTCAAAAAGTTCCTTCACCATCTACCTTTGAATAAAGGCTGTATCATGTATCAGAGACCCTAGAATTATGTACTACGGTTTTCCTTCCACCTTGCTATCCCTCTAACATATGGCATCAGATTGATATTTCAGTGTAAACATTATGTCATTGTTTTTCCATATAATGGAAAAATGACAAAAAAGAATCCATCAGAAAAAAAATTTTTAACCAATGTTTCTTTCTTCCCTAATTCAGATCTGATTATTTACCATATGATATTGTGAAGCGTCCTTTTCAAATACAAGACGAATATAAACCAAAGACGGGAAAGATAGAACTGGGAACCACATACCAGAAAGATTATAATGTTCATAAAATACAACCAGTGACATTAGTAAGACCTCTAGAGAGAAAACACACTACAGGAGGAAAACTGGATACCATACCAACCTATCAAGGTAATAATATGTGCCACTTTTAGAAAGAGAAATAAGCGAGATGAAGGCAGTATTCTGAATTATCTATATTAGAAACTGGATTTCTTAGTTTGGGCCAGAGAGTAAGACATACTAGAAAGCAGGTGGTAATGCCATAAGATGTTCAGCACTCCACTTGTTTAGAGGTGACATTTATTGTTTTGAAACAAAAAGCCTTCTCTAAGATTAAAGTGCCAATGTATCTTTGAGATAGTTTTAGCTCATGTAACGCATATTTTTCCACAGAGTGGGTAAAAAAGTTGATTTTAGATTTCTTAATTTTGTACTGTATAGCTTGCATATATTCCCAGTAATGATCTGGTTTGACACAAATTATTCTATTACAACGGTCAGCACAAAGGCACTAAATCTCCTTTTAAGTTTTCTTGGCAAGCAACCTTGATATTTCTAGAAGTAGAAAATTTTATACATAAAATGTGTTCTTGGATTTGTTACATGCAGTGCATTGTAGCCCCAGTGAAAAGTAAGTAGAAATAAATGATGAGATATAATGTACTAGAGTAATAAAAATCAATATATTCCTGATTATGAGGGCCAGTGGTATCAAAAAGCTGAAATAATGAGAATCAGATATGGCTATTGAAACGGACATTAAAATGCTTGGTGCAAAATAAGCAGAGGAGAGTGCAGAGACAGAAAGAGTTGGAAGGCTAAAATTTGGGAAAAAAGGCTCCTCAAAAAAACCCAGACTTCTATTTCTCTAGCTTCTTCAAGCTTAGGCCTATGTTAGATAGAAGTGTATTTATACAAATACATTCTATTTATATTTATCAATTGTAAATAATTTAAGTATTTCTGTTTAACCCACATGTAAGGACTAAGCTAGCAAATAATGAATAATTTAGCCTAGTCTCAGGATACAACTAAGAGAGTGTGCAACTACTTCACTTAAAATGTATGTCAGCAGTTCAACAGGGAGTGAGGATCAAGGAGTGGAAAAGACACTGAAGCTGAAGTAAGTACAGTGATTGAAAGACAACAAATTGATTTCACCTGTCCCTGAAGAAGTTTATACTGGACAGTAAGTTTTGTAACTATAGAAGAAGAGTCTGTTAGTAATAAACCCAAAAGCAAAGAAAAAACCATCCCAACAAGCTTTAAGATGATGTAATGTTGATATGGAAATTATAAGAGAGAATTCTGCTTCTCCCAATCAATAGTGAACATAACCCATTGGCTTATGAGGTTCCTTTCAGTCTTTTACATAAACTTCCAAGTAAAATGTAAGATATTGCCTATGGCTATTTTCGGTGTGGAACACACACTAACTATCTGCATGCAACATTTTCTTTTTCCTTGAGGGAACAGTCAAAATAGGGCACCATGTACAATTTTTTGTGTTTCTATCACACCAATGATAGAAGACAGTTTTGTCATCACAAACATGCAGATCATATTATCATTCTCACTTGCATCCGTTTTATTTGTTTTGCAAGATTTAACACCAGAAGAATTTGGCTTAATTTTAAAGGAATGGTCTTAAGTAATAACACTTGTATGGTGAAGTTTTGTTCTTGCCTTAAAGATGACTATAGGTCATGGGAAGTTCAAAGACGGGAAACTAGGAAGGTGGAGCATATATACCACCCACCTACAGCAAAGTTTGGAAACACTACTACATTTCAAGATGACTTTGTTCCCAGGGAACTGAATCCCAGACAAAGTTTTAAGCCTCCTTGTGCAGCCAAGCTTTCAGATGTGCCTTTTGATAGTACTACAAGCCATCGCACTTCTTATATTGCTCATCAACTGGAACCAAAATTTATAAGAGCAAAAGAAGAGTACAAGCCAAGCAACCAACCCTTTGAAGATCTCACAACCCACCGGAATGATTTTAAAGGGCTACCTGGGGAGCTTGCAAAAAGCTGCAAGCCTGAAAATGCAAAAGTTGAATCCAATGCTCATTTTAATGGAGTCACTGAATTCCAGGACCGTTTTCAGCCGTGGCTGGTCTCCTTGCGTGAGGTCCGCAAAACACAAGAGTATGTTCCACCCTCAGGCAACATGGATTTTAACTCCACAAGCCGTCTTGATTATGTTAAGCATGAGATTTCTCCTGCTATCCCCATAAGACCAGTTTCTAATGAGAGAAGAACCAATGCCCCTTTTCAAGGAAATACTACTATGAAAGAAGACTTTAAAGCTTGGGGCCACTGTCGGCAAGAGATTACTAAGAAACAACAAGAAATTCCAAAGCCCACAGGAAAATTTTATGATTTGACTACATTCAGATCTCATTACATACCGCACCAGGTCATTCCAGCTCAAAGTTTCAAACCTGCACATGCTACAGTTCTTAATTCGGCTCCTTTTCAAGATGAAACTATGTATCGCACAGAGTACACTCCAAAGCAAGCAGAGATCTGCCCAGCCAATTACCCATCTCCTCCAGGCTATATCTATGTAAACACAGATTCTCACGGCCACAAATTCTTCCGCCAGCTGACTCCAGAATTTTCTGAGTCAAATAGTAACCCTGTTCCAAAGGAAGTAGCTGTTGTGTCATGATACTTAAATGCAGTATTTCAAGTGTCCCGGTGAATCCTACTTCATTTTTTCTTTAAATAACACTGAAACCAAATTTAGTAATGCAAATTCTGATTTTAAAAGCTTTTAAAGTAATAGCTTGAAGAAAATCAAAGCAAAGCTGGAAGACAAGACAAGACAAATAAGGATGTCTTAATTTTTGTAGGAATAATGTATCTCACATGACATCCATTCTTTTTTTGATGGTGCGTTCTGATTTCCTTGATTTCTCAGATTTTGTTATGTTTCATCTCAAGCATATGTTTTGTAGATTTGTCTCAGATTTTCTGCAAATGATTGTATTTGTGAAAAAGCAAGTATCTTTTGATTATAACTTCTTTTTCATAGTAAGCAAAAAATGCTATAATAATCTAAATAATTAGCTCATCAGTCCAGTTTTTAATCTCATTAATACTTTCAGTGATCTGATAAGAAGATCTTTTCCTTTCGATTTTGCTGCCCAAATCATATGATAGCATCCCATAGCACTAGGCATTTCTAAAAATCTGGTTTTAGCTTTAGTCATCATTACTTCTTCCTCATTCAGTTCTGAGGAGAGTATAAAGGTCACACTGTAATTTCTGATAGCAATTAACAAGAAGTAACCTTGCTCTTTTTCTGTACTCATACTTGAAATCACTCAGGCATAAAAACCAGGTCATTAGACTCTGTTCCCTAACTTCCCTGAGAGTGCTTTTTCAGCCTTATTTCCATAGGAAACAAAGCTGATGGAAAGCTGTTTCCTCCAAAGGAAACAAAGCTTTGGACACACTGACACACCAAGTGTGTGTCCTCCCCACCTGAGTAATTTTTAAACCCAGTGTGCAAATTCAATCAAAATTGACAAAGAGATTTCACAAGTGATTGTTTTTCAAGTTTCTAAGGTAGATGGTGAGGTAGCAGAGAGAATCACACTCAAAAACTTAATATCTGTCCGCTGCAGGTTTTGATCCTGCTGTCTGATTTTTAAAGATAAACAGCCTGTAATTACTGTCAGAGTTCACTGCAGAGGCAGCATGAAGGTGAAAATGGCAAAAAAATATAAAAGCGTATATAGAGATAACAGAAAACGGCCTAATCTCAGTTAAAAAAAGAAGTATCAGCCAAGATGCAGAAATTTCTAGGCAGCTTGGCTTCAGTTCGTCTGCTCTTTAAAGAACTGCTTGCTACAAACACACAGAAAACAAAGTTTTTATAGAAATTGTACATGCAATGATTATGCTTTCTGTATGAGATATTTAATGTTTTCTTTATGTATCTTTACCCGATTTTGGGAAATCAGAGTAACTGATTTCAGTCCTATTATGTTGATGTTTTAAGCAAGTGGCAATAAATAGTTTTCAGATTAACAGTATTATCATGTTCTAGCACAGTACTCTGATTTTTTACGCTGCTGCATACCTTGTACGCATTGGTATAGGGCAGTCTTTTGGGTTCTGAAGAATTACGTGCTTGTACGTCATAAACCAAGTCACCAATAAAAGGACTAAGATCAACGACGGAAACCTGTTGAAAGCTGGAACTGGATCATATGCAAGGAAGAAAACTGAACTGCGGATATGAGCTGTGCATACAACATTGCATGAGAGAGCTGGAGACGTTATTACAGCATCAGTTACTTTTAGGTAATTTTTGTACTGTGTTTTTGGAAATATGACTTTGTAAATGAAACAACAATTCAATTAAACTTTTATTTCTGAAGATTATCCACATCCCCAGCTGATAAAGACATGTTTTAGATTGGGCATAAGCAAGGGCAATGTAAAGCTGTGATAGCCTAAAACAGGACAGGAAAAAGTCCCAATTCATTGTCATCCTTCTGTACCACAGAAGAAAACAAACTACAAACACCCTTTTCTTTATGAAACTTGAGTCACTCTGGCCACAGCTGAGGAAACAAAGTCAAAACTTTGCAGAACAACAACTACCCAAGTCCATATCCTATACACAATCTTGGTACCTCATGAGAAGTTTACAGAAACTCCCAATATCCTCCAGCTCTTCTTCTCTCTTCCTCTCTTCTAGGGAGGAAGAAAGCTCATTGGGAAATGCAATCTAAATGCCTTCATCTTCTGCTGAAAATGGCTGCTTCTGTGGGTCTGCGAGTGAGCCCAGATGCTTTTTGTAATTTTCACAGCTGTTTTCTTTAGTTCTTACATCACTTTTTCCCCCTGTTAAGTTATAGAAAGTAATTTGCTGCCACCTACCAGCACAGTACAAAAAATCATTGAGAGGAAGTGGAGGGCATATTCAGATACATTTAACAGTTCCTCTTTCTAGTGTGGAGGGGGCATATTCCCCTCTAAGTTTTATAGTGAAAGACAGAAGCCTTTATTACATTACAGCTGAAAGAGCCACACCCCACTGATTGTGCTTCCAGGAAAAGCATCAAATGATATTATAAACCTATAGACAGTATTCATTACTTGAGGTCAACTTTTTCATAAGCAACATACTATTGAAAAGCAGACAAAATGAAGAGCTGGAAATGAAAGGTGGAAAACTAGTATTTCTCAAAATAACACCTGTTTAAGAAGCATTTTATGATGTCATGCTAAACCAAGATGTATAAGCGGAAAAGTTACTCATGGATTCAACTGCTATTCTAAAAGTGCTTTCCATGCATGATGCTGTACAGCGTGCTCCACACAACTGCTGCACAAATGATATTATAAACCTATAGACAGTATTCATTACTTGAGGTCAACTTTTTCATAAGCAACATACTATTGAAAAGCAGACAAAATGAAGAGCTGGAAATGAAAGGTGGAAAACTAGTATTTCTCAAAATAACACCTGTTTAAGAAGCATTTTATGATGTCATGCTAAACCAAGATGTATAAGCGGAAAAGTTACTCATGGATTCAACTGCTATTCTAAAAGTGCTTTCCATGCATGATGCTGTACAGCGTCCTCCACACAACTGCTGCACGGAATCTTTTTTTTTTTTTTTTTTTTTTTAACAAAAAAAGAATGCATTGGTGACACAAGAAGAAAATTAAATAGATGCATGCACCTTTGCCAAGATTGCCATCTAGGGTAACTTTGAACATTTATTTTCAATTTTTTCCTGTTCATATTATTTATGAGACTGTTCTTTCTATAGGCTATTATACATATTGGACAATGTGAAACAAGTTTTGTTGCTATCACCCACTAAATATAAAACAGATCTGTTCTGTTGAGCCCAAATGAACTCTGCTTAGTGCAGTTCCTGATGGCCTGGCAAAGAAATGTAACTTTACTCCACCTTTTCACAGAATCCCAATTCTGAATTTCAGTGAGTCAGAGTGGATTTATTTGGATTTTGGCAAATTCTCTTCCCCACTTTTTCAGTCGGGTTACTTCTATGTTGCCTCTTAATAGCAGTGCAAAGCAGACTATAACGAAGCTGAGGATCGGTCTGATAAGCTGTCAAAGAACTAATCTTGGCTTTGAAAAAATCCCAGAATTATGGATATAATAGGCTGATAAAATAACACTTGGAATGAAGGCACAGCTACCATGAAAATCACGGTAATGAACAATCTCCGGGTAATCACAGTGTTGAATAATCAAACTAGTCTTTATTTCAGAAATATCAAAACTACGTTCAAGAAAGCTAAATATTAGACATCTTTAGTTACTGGAGAAGCAATAAAATAATCTACAGAGGAATGTCATGCCAATTGCAATAACAAACATTTACAGCACTGCTTCTGTATAGCATGCATACTTAACCAAAGACAAAATTAAAGCAAAAAATGCTACGTGTTAACATTTGAAAACTTTAAATATAAGGGAAAAACATGAATAAGAAATTTTGGTAATAAGAAAAAATATATGTCCAAAAATCTTTATTAAACACTGTACAAAACAAAATATTGCACTTTTAAATCAGACAATAAATATCTACAAAAGTATCTTACAAATGTTTTCTTTTAATTTAAAAAACTGCTTAAACAATCAAGACCCATTGCTGATTAAAAAAGGTAATGATCAGGAATATCCTCTCCTTGCAGTCAGCCTTGGACACAATAGTCCACATTAAACACTTTCTATACAGTAGTCCTAATCTAGTTTTCAGTGATGCAAACCCATTGTGCAGGAATGCTGTTTCTAGACCTGTTCTTACAGCATACCCACTAATTAGCATGAAATGTAGTTCAGTAATGTAACACAGGATCCAAGTCAATACAAGCATTCAGGCCTCCAATATATGCAGTAGTTTGGAAACTACAAAAGAAAAAAAAAAAGCGCCTATCTGCTGCCTCCCATGGGGTTCTCCCTGTTTACAGCCCTAATGAGACATAATCTGCAATATGGCAAATAATTTACTTGGGAATATCGTAATCAAAATGTATCAACTTACAAAAGACTTAAATGGTTAATGGTAATGACAAAAAGCCACCTTGATGGAAAACTGCTCAAAATAGAGTTCTTGCACTTGTCTACCTTCATAATGAATAATTCTTTCTGGGACTTTTCTCCCCATTAACGAGGGGAAAAATATTTATTCAAGACAGAAAATCTGACAGCCACATTTGGCCAGTTACTGGCTCCCCATTTGACTTGATGTGCAAGAGAACAGCGCTCACAAATGTTTCATTCACAGCTCTGACAAGGAAGCCTTGTGTCTAATTTAAAATCAGTAGAAAAGTCTAATCATGCCAGAACTTCGATTGTACTTCAGTGACTGGAGCAGAATTGAAACAATGGAAAATGACACCTCATTTATTCAAAACAGATCTATTGCTGTTTTGGAAATTGTACTAGCATCTACAATGTCTTTTACTGAATACACATAAATAGCATGAAAAATGAAATGTGCTTCTGTGTATCCACCTGACAGCTAATATCAGTAAAATACATCTTGTGAGATCGACCCTTAAGCTCAAGGTGTTTATGAAAATGAAGTCGCTGCCAAAAATTTTACAGCTACAAGCCACAGCTTCTATAGACTTAAAAATTATGTTAAATTTGATAAAACAGTAAAAACAAAGCCTAGGGGTCAATAGTTGCCACATTTCAAGATTCTTCAAAGGATTTTGTGACTCTGTTTTTCTCATAAATCAAAGACAGCAAGCACTACCTAGTGCTTTTAGATAATGATTTTTCCTCTGATAAAATGATAATGTGATGGCCTGTAAAATTTTACAGATGATATGCCACAATATTGTCTTCCTAATCCAGACACAAAAACGTTTAAACATTAAGAGTTCAATCGCAAAGAGTGGATAATAAAAGTTCCCAGAAAAAATACCCTGTCCAGCGTATCAGTCTGCAATATGATTTTTTCATTAGCCCCATGTTTCCGTTTAACTGTTATGACTAATGTCTTATTTACAATTATGTAGTTTGAGCAGGCTAGTTTAATGAACCTCTTCTCATCTCTTCACTGCAGCATCAACTTCCCACAGAAGAGTTACATTTCTTGACATGATTGACAACATCTTTGTTTGTAGATGTCTATCAAGCATAACTTTAGTTGCTTGACAAATGTACAGTAGTGAGTTGTATCCTTGCATTCGCCTTCTGAAAAATATATTTAAACATTAAAAGGCCTTATAATGGACAAGAGGTAAATAGTACAACTTATCGTAATTGTAAACACCTGATGGATTCCTGGTAGCTTTGTAAGTATTTTACCTTGTATTTCTGGCAACAGTGGATTCAAGCTAAACTAGGTCATAAATAAGAGGTGTGATCTCACTACATTCATTACCTATTGTCTGTTTCAGAAAACTACCCCATTTTTCAGGAATTAACAGCTTGCTCAGAGACTTATGAGTCACAACTGGCACAGTCGCATAGAGAAGTTTGCATAAAACAACTTCCTAAATATCCTGTTTCTAAAAGTGCTTTTGAGGCTTTAATATCAAACTGGCCAACTCATAGAGAAAAATAAGGCCAGGATTATGAAGTGCTCCTTGGAGAGGATAGTTTTACTTTTGATATACAATCAAATGCTTGTAGAATCATTAGTGTACAACTGTGAGTCACTTCCTAATGTAACTGCTACAAACTATTACTATGCTCATATATAAATAAACATTTACATACTGCCACAGGATGTGACATTGCAGTGTTGCCAGGTCACTGGTCTCTTCCTCCACCCGCAATACTGATCGGCCACAGGTTGCTGATTCTTTCCGTGTACACAGTACACTCGTCTTGACTGAAATCCACTCCCACAGTCCACGCTGCAAGGTCTCCAAGGGCCTGTCCGCCAGTAGACATCACACGCCTCTGAGGAACAGTTTCTTCTGACAGGAGACCTGGGGGAGAAATGAATAGTAGTTAAATGTTTGCTTTTGTGCTAAACCCTTATTCACAGAATGACAGAACCAACGTTGGAAGGGACTTCTGGAGACTGATTTGTCCATGCCCCCTCTCATAGCACACTGAACTAGACCAGGTTGCTCAAGACCATCTCTGTTTGTGTTTTGAATATCTCCAAGATATTCAAGACTCTGCAACCTTTCTGGGCAACCTCTTTCAGGTGTCTGAAGATCCTCATGGTAAAAAAAGGGAGGTTTTATGTTTTAGTTGAATTTCCTCTATTTCATTTTGTGCCCATTGAGCATGCCTCACTCATGAGGAAACAAAAGACAAGAAGGCCATGTTTCTTTAAACCAATTCCTTAATCCTGGAGTAGAAAAAATGTTTTACCCTGAAATGGTGCATTCTGGATGCTGCAAGTGCTTCGTGCATAACCTCTGTCCTGAACACAAGTAATATTTCTATGCTGACACTGAACATCCTCAAACACCAGAAGCTGCCAAAGTGAAATCCTGGCTTTTAATAGTAAATAGAAGTTTCACCGTGTACTTCC